TATTAACATCACAGGTACTACAATGTATCAAACACTTTACAATGTCTATATTACCCCAGTCTACAGCTATATGTAACGGTATTCTAACTTCAATATCCTGTAAGTTAACCTTACAGGTACTACACTTTATCAAACACTTTACAATATCTACATAACCCTCCTTTACCGCTATATGTAATGGTGTATCTCGGTGAATGTCCTGTAAGTTGATATTACAGGTATCATACTCTATCAAACACTTTACAATGTCTACATTACCATCCCTTGTCGCTAAATGTAACGCTGTATAACCTCTATGGTCCTGTAAGTTAATATCACATACACCACTCTGTATCAAATTATTTACAGTCAAGAGATTATTAATCTTTACGGCAATAAATAAAGATGTTCTGGTTGACATTTTTAAATCAATCTGTAATAAATAAAACAGTAATTATTTAATCATGTAATTATAAGATCTTGTCTCAAACTAACTCAAATATTGGTATTTAACCATTCTGGCATTGGATTTGTCCACTCAGATCCCCTGCAAGAGCGTCCACATAGCTAATGATATCTACTTTGTTTATTTGTTACATTCCACATATTCTATGAACGAGGGAGTTGCACCCGTTTTAATACCACCTTTAAAAACAATCTCTCTCTTTAGCGAATATTATCATTAATTTTTCTGCAGCCATTGTAAAATCATTCTCGATTCTTCTGTTAACGCCAATAGAGAGTTTAATCCTTGTTTTAAGAACTTGCTTATTATAACTTTCTACATAACATACAGTTAAAAACCTTGGTAGGGTTGAAACATCAGAATTTTGTTGATTGAGTGATCATCGGATAGATAGCTCGTGTTTTTCGAAATTACATCTTCTTCTAAATGTCCTAATTATAATATACATCTTCCTCGTGAATTTAGACTTCTGACAAAGTTTTAACAAAAACAAACATACCGGCTGACCAAACTCGTTAGCGAAACATATTGCTTCGTGTATCACATGTCGACAGTTATACAGATTAACAGGACGTCCCGACTTCTGCAAAACATCTTCTAATGTAGGATGAATAACGGCAAAACAAAATTAAGGTTGAATTGTACCTAGAAACCATAATTCAGTCAGCTGTCATAGGTTGAATGTTGATGTTTCAAGGACAATAAGTAACATCTATTCTAGAACCACAATGATGGGACAGTATAAAAACTAATATAAATCTAATTACCTGGATAGACAAATCAGCCAGACTCTTACCCTCTTAAAGCTTGCCAACTCTTCCAGAGGTAGCAGTTTTTCATCACGTATATTTTTAATAAGATTGGTTAGGTTCAAACCCTGCAGATAATGTCTATTCTTTAAAATTACTGTAGCAGCCATTCTCTGAAATAGATAAGTACATTTAGTTGATTTAAGTATTAGTGTTTATACGACTGTATCTCATGTGAAATACAAGTTAGTTGAGTAAAAACTCTCCTCCAAAATATTTACAAAAATACTTGCAACTTCGTAAATATTGAAGTGCATCTCGACATGTCGGTCGGTGCAGCTTGGCTAGTCAAGAAAGGAGAGAAATGACCTGCCCAGAATCCACCGGGACTATGACAATATCAGGGAGTATAGATTGAAACTATTTGCAGAAATCTCATTTAGAAATTTCCAATATGTCAAGCCGGGTAAATTCTTAGAATCTGGTTAGAAATGTAAAATATGATGACCATAAAAATTTTGAGTTCTACCTGCACAGGAAGTGACTATTTCCAAACCTTATCTTTCGTATCTAAATCTATTTCTAGAAATCATATTATCAAACATCCCAATCTTGGCAGCTTTAATCTTAATTAAATATATTTGTCAGTACAGTAACAATCACCAGTATGAAATATTCAACCTTCAGTCATACACTTGAACTTTTTGAGGTGATACTGAATAATATTACCAAGTTTCGCCTTTTAGTGTTTACTAGATAAAAATTTAATGTGTAATATTAAGTCTTAGAGTCGTGTTTTTTTTTTATGTTTTGAGATATAAAATCAGAATAACAGGACATCACTCGAAACTTACAAATTTCTGAATAAAATCAGACCTCTTGGAATGTTTGTCGAGTCACTTTCCTTTTCAGTCGACATTTTATTAACAACTCTCTGGTTTAAAGTCTATGTTATGCCATTTTCGGGTGTCAATCATACCTTGGTCTGAGAAACGGGAATTATTCAGCTACGCCAATCGGCTTCACAGCTTCCAGTCAAACATCGTCTACGCACAGCTTCGACTAGAGATGTTTGGGTGTCAGAGACTGTATCAACTTTCGGATACCCCAAACTTCATAATAATGGTTAGCTTGTGAACGAAATAAAAAAGAAATTGCTAGTTAGAGGTATATGTGAAGGAATTGCGAGAGTTTTGTACAGGTATAGTATATCTGAAGACTATTTACATAATTCAAGGACCAAATCAACACCCGAAAATGGTGAAGCTTAAGAAAAGGATTCTTTTTATAAAGAGAATATAAAAACTTTAGATCCCAAGTAGGCTACTATATATAATTAAAACCAAAAATTCATAAAAAATAAATTCAATTTACATGATAGAGAATATAACAGGTTCACATTCTAGGCAATATAGCTGCTGGACATTACAGTGTAAAAATCACAAGAAATATTTTAGTGTTAGTCAACTTCGAAATTTTAGTTGAAATTGCCTTCTACGGCAGGAAAATTCGACAAACCAACAAACTGGTTAAGACACCAAACAATATACAGACTAGAGAGGAATTCCTCAATATATCAAACACAAAGTTGTAACGAAGTTACTGTAGCGGTTCAGGTGCGTTATCGCAAGACATCTGAAGACTTTCCACGATGCCCTATCGCAGATTCCTAAATTATCAGTGGGACTGGGGCTTCAGAAGTTCAGATGCATTATGGAATCAACTGGGGTCTGCTCAAGTTATATAGACTGTCTTATAGAGATATTATGACGCTATCAAACTATAAAAAACATGTTAAAAATATACCCCATTCAATCTTATTCAGAGATAATAAATTATTATGCAGAAATTGAAAAAAACAAGTCAACAAAAGAAATTGTATGATCTATAATTCAATACTGGGTACAATACACTCCTGGTTATAGTCAACATTAGAAATTGTATGATCTATAATTCAATACTGATCATAATAGATCTATTTGAAATGGGTACAATACACTCCTGGTTATAGTCAACATTAACTGTTTGTTAAACAAGTGGTCACCATGAGACAACAGCAAAGTTTAAGGTAGCCTACTCTACAGTAATTTATTCTGCCAATTTAATTACAAGGGCAACACAATTCATTTATAGAAAAATAGAAAATGAAATCATACAAGACCTCATCAACATACCAAGTGATGGTCGCAGTCCGGTGTGTTGGGGCTATAAGCCTACTATTTTATATTGAAATCTGATCAAAAATGTAGCGTATACAGTTAACAGGCTAATTTTAACTTAGTCCGAAACATCTCTCTTTTCAAGCTTCTGATAGATATTTTGACACTTTTCAGCTGGCTTAGAGACAGGTTTTTTCGGTCGAGTCAAAACTCAAAAAGAATTCAACTTAACCTAGCCAATATCCAATACGTCCTAGATATCACCAACATGCAAAACATTTTTCTTAAAATTTATACAATTTAATACAAACCATTTATTTTCGCTGGGCTCTCATGGTAGGTTACAATCAAGCCAAATTGTAAGCCAAGTCTATGTGGACGGACAGACATTCAGGGGTCAGGGGTGATTATAATATATGATATACAATCATATTATTCATTTATATCAAAACATATTAGTAATCAATATGTACAAGACCTGACAACTATTGTTCAACATGTTAATAGTTTAATATGATTTTAATATGATCTAAAGTTCTGTATTACTATTTATAACCAACCAATTCTTTTAGTTGTGTCTTGTTGTTATCGTGATAGGTGACATTTCTTTACAGATGAATTTAATTCCTGTTTAATGAAGGTATTATAAGTTCTTTTGAAAAGTTTTAATTGTAATCTAACCCTGAAAATTTAGAGGGCGTGAGAGACACCAATATTCGCCTTATCTCTATTATAAATTATAATCTAATTTAAACACTATGTAAGTCCGAGTCTACAATGGCTATTCAATCTGATTGGTTGTAAATCTGTTTGAAAGATATTCAGTGATTATGAAAATGAATTTCTGAAACTATTGGCTATCCCAAGTCACTAACCACTGTACCAATGGCATCTTCCCTGAGCTCCCAGATTTAACGTCTAATGGAGGGTTGCAAACTTTAAAATTTTAAGGTACATCTTTCTGGCCAGTTTTGCTAAACTTAACGACAGCCCTCTTGTACGTTCGCCGAGAGGATGAAAATTTGATTGGTTAACGCAGACGTCATAGATTTAGCTAAAAGATAACGAAAGAGGAACGAACGTTTGATTTTGATTAAAAAG